AGTCATTTGGCACATCCAAGAAGGGGATATCTCTAGATCTGGTGCACTGTGTCAGGCTCAGAAGTGTGACCTCCATGCATTTAGTGGTACTAACAGGTCTATGGTACCTAGATGGCTTGCCTACAGTAATTTGTGATGAATCACCAGAACATTAAGGAGTCATTAGTTTCAGAGTCTGTATCAGTGATGCCCTGCAACTGTTGCTGCCAACCTTTTCCTCTTGCTCAAAAGCCATTTGTGTTCTTCAATTTCCATCATAGCCCTACTAGAGCTGGCTGAAGGATCTCTTTTATGACAGATGAATGCACTAATCAGGTCTTTTTTTTTTTAACTATTGCACATGCTTGGTCAAGCCATCTCTTATTCAAATCCTCCCACTGGGCCCCTTGGGATTTTTCTTTGTGAGGTATGGCTGTATGGCTCTGTAGTAAATTGTCAAATAACATCAAGTCAGGACAGCCATGCAATTTTTCAGGAGACCAGAACATAAGGAATTAGTTAAAGTTGAATTATACCAGTTATCTATTTGACTGATGTCAAAGCCTTTGGAGTCTAGCTGTCCATCAAAACGATTAATAAGTACAGCAGTGCTGTGATCGGCGGGTCTCCCACTGACTGGTGACACTGATAAGGGATGGAAGGCATTCTTCCCTGAATGGGAAATTGGGACACTGTCCTCTGGCTGCAAATGGAGGCAATGGGGATGAGCAATGGGTATGTCAATTTAGTTTTCTGCTGGCTCACAGACAGGTGGAAATCCTTCTGAGATTGAAAATGTATTTATTTTTATTTCTCTGAGACATTGGGAAGACCCCTACATCAAGCCTTGCTACAGCCTTCTTTTTCTGTTGACATCAAAATTGTAAACATGCTATATATAAGGTTCTCTTTAAGATGATTTGGAAGCTGCATTTGGTATTGAGTGCAGCTATCCCTTCCCTTGCAAGGATTACTGAGTTGCCCTGCTTTCAGGCCCTGAAGGGCAACCTACAAATAAATATACAAGGCTGCCCAGATGTTAATATTAGTCACAGAAACCCATTCTGAGCTGGCAGGCAGAAGAGAAACAGCTTTTTCTATACTGACCTCATCTCTGTAGAATGCCCTAGCATGGCACATGTGCAAAATTTCATCCTGGTGTTTTATAGCTTGGATAATGCAGCCTTCTTTTATTTAAATAAATAGATGTTCACTTTTGGTTTATGACTATTATGGCTGTAGTTTTAGCTAGATCATATTTTCAATATCACAGTTGTTTTGCAAGCTTTCTTGAAAGGCAATTAGAAAATATTTTAATGATAATTTAGAAAGCTTTACTTTTTTGCCTATACTATATTCTCAGAATATACAGAATATCCTACCAATTAAGAAAAGAAACGCTTAAGCTTGTTTGATGCAACAAAGAAAAAAAATGAGAACCTCCTTCAACAGCTTTGACTAATTGAGTTGAAAGTACCATGAAAATGAGATGCTAACCCCATGACATTTATACTGACACTATAATCAAATGTATGTTAGCAAATTTGCAAATGTAATAAGCTTTCATTAAAAAAGATTTAAGACAAGCAACACAGACAATTCTACACACACTAGACAGCTTCTTTTTAGTAGAAACAAAGGTAATAAATTATGGGTGCCATCCCAAGGGTCATGGTGGTAAACTATTATATAAGTAGATTAGGTCAATTCTTTCATGGATGCCTAAGACTGGACACAGCAAATATTGTTGGTTCCTTTAAACAGTCCTCTCTAAATGTTAATACTTGTATTTTTTTCTGATGCCCTTCCCAGAACTCCTAAGAGGATCCAAATTCCTCATTACTGTCAACTGTTCTTCCAAGGCCATGGCTACTGCCCATTAATTTCCAATGCAAACAAAAACAAGTCCTTAGTATAACAGAATTTTTCACATTCTGACCCCCCCCCC